ACTGTGTTCTTGGATAACAGATGCCATTTTGATAATTGTTACAGAAAAATGAACAATAGCTCCCATGAAAATGTGACATTTAGGATTTGTCTGTCTCCTGGAAGAAAGATATGAAACAGTTTAGCAGGCTAAATGGCAATAAAGGCTAACTGCATTGATTAATGTTGCAGTGGGGGTCGTGCAACAGAGATTCAAACAAGACTAAGAGTAAACTGCTAAGCTGCTCTGTGAGGCTCCTATTTAGGCACAGTGCTCTTGAAAAATGTTCTTTAAATAAAATGGTATTATTATTATTATTAGGCTATTCTTATTATTATCATCATTATTATTATTATTGTTGTTGTTGTGCTTTAAGCTAAATGGCAACGTGAGCATGCTAACATGCTCACCAAGATAATAAAAGAAAAGCAGAGGCTATTGGGAATGTCATTTGTGGTGGAATCTAAGGGAGGCAGGAATGTACTAAATTTCATTGCAATCTAATGATTGTTGAGATATTTTAATCTGGACCAAAGTGGTGAAACACATGTTCCACTGTATGTTAAACTAATTAGCACACCAACTAGCACAATACATATTATACCAAGTATCCTTTTGCATATGGCAAATGTGTACCAGGGTCATAAAGTCAGTAAAGTAAGTGTCACTGCAATATGTATAGTTTGCTAACCTTAGTAAACATTAGCCACCATAAGCTCCTGGTAATACCAGACAAAGTAAGCTGTAGCTGCAATGTGTTTTAGAGTAAGAATTTGTTATTTCTTCTTTCAAAAGCTTTACTTTAGTGTCAGTGATATTCACAGTTCTTACACCAGTGTGTCTCTCACACACTAGAGCTGCAAGAAGAGCAGAAACATCTCTACAGTATGTTTTGCTCAGAGTGGGTGATCTGATAAATAGACACCCAGCTGCTCAAAATAACTTCTATCCAACAACAATGTTGTCAACGGTCAGCTGATCTGCAGTTGAACAGCTGGTCTTTGTGTACATTGTCTTACTGAGGAGATCCAGACCTCCATAAAATGAGCAGATTAAGGAGTTTGAAACCAGTGGTGTAATTCTGATCTGAATGAGCAGGTGGCTAATAACATTATCTACCATAGGGACTGTTTTGTTTTTCAAACACAGGAGCATGTAACTTTTGGTGGTTAATGTTTTTATATTGTTACATATGAATCTCAGGCTCCATTTACTCTCTCTGTTCTCAGAGGCTATAAAACCAGCCATCCTTCTGCCTTTGTCAGGTGCAGAATATCCCCCAATTTCCATTTATAGTCAGTGTAGCCTATGGTCCCACTTTTCCCTCCCCAAACACAATGAAGCATATCTCTATATTTCTCAGTGCCCTAATTTCTTCTCTTCCTTCTCTGTTGTTTCTCAGTCTGGCTTTGATGAAAAAGGGATGCACTTTTTAGCTCGTTCACCAGGATGTCTTTCATGTGCCTTATCAGACGCCTTCAGGAGTTCAACCAACCTTCCACTTTTAGCATAGTTTACACTGTCGGAGTTTAATTACTTTCAACACGTTTTTTTTAAAAAGGAAATACACAAAGGACCTTCCTGTGATTCTAATAATGTCGACTCCTGTAGTATTGTATTTGCCTTTTTATCACTGTCAAATCAATCTATTATCGTCAAATCTGTTTTAGTCCCTGGACTGGTCTAGTCCTAATCAAAGTGTCACTGCACAGACATATTGTAATAATGAGTAATCACTGATGCATCAGCCATTTCCATTTGAGTATTGCCTTTGTGTAAAAACTGATACAGATAATATGTAAAAAGGGCTTACAATGTCTTTTTTAAACACAGTGTCAGCCATACCTGCTTCTGTCAAGCTGTAAATAGAGCCTCTCTGGCAGCTGCAAGGGCTTTCATCTCCTCCAGGAAATAGTCTTCCTGGCAGCTTTGTAGAGGTTTAAGTCTCTCAGTGGTCTGTTTGAAGTGTGTTGTCATCCGAAGCCGCCACCTCCCGCAGACGATGCAGGACAGCCATCATCAGCTCCTTCCTGGAGGTCAGCCGTGTGACATCTGGCAGGATAGTCTGCCTGACACTGATTTATACTGTAGTTTCTGTTTTTAGTTCGATGTAGGCTAAACCACAGATGAGAGGATTTGCCTGATTGCATAACTTTGGTATAGACCTCAGGTCAAATCCACCATCCACCATCCAACATGTTGAGAAATACACTTAGATGAGAAGCTCGATAGCCCTTATACTAGAGAGCGGCCTCTTAGGTCAACCAACCAAAACCTGTAGGCTAAACCGTGTGCCAAACATAAAACCAAAGCCTTTTGTTCTTTTGCTGTCCTAGCACAGAGACTCTGAAACAATCTCCCATTCCCATTGGATCAGCTGTCTGTTTACTGTTTCAAACATTTAAAAAGCCACTTCTTTAGGTTAGCTTTGCTGTAACTACAATGATTTGCTGTGGATGGTTTCTGTGGTCGTATGTGCGATGCGTATGTTGGTGTATGTGTATGACTTTCTAAATATTTTTCTCTTGAATGAGCTTTGCGTTTTATGTTTATGCTTGATTTTAAAGCAAAGCACTTTGAAACCTGTGTTAAAAAAAGGTGTTATATAAATAAAGTTTTACTTACTTCACTCCAGCACCAGCAGTTGGGTAGCTTAGCTAAGCACAAAGACTGGAAGCAGGAAATGACTAGCCTGACTCTGTCCAAAGGTTTAAAACAACTACCAGCACTTCAAAAGTTCACTAATTAACACGTTATGTCTGGTTAATACATACAAACATCAAAGTGTAGAAATAACATGATGTGGTTTCCTGGCAACCTCATGTTGATGAAAAGACTTCAGAAAGTCACTGGGTCTGACAAAGAAATAGTGCAGCACATATCCCTCCACAACATGTTGTTTTTACGTTATATCCTCCAGTCTTTATGCTAAGGTAAGCTAACCAGCTGCTAGTGGTTGCTTTGAGCAAAGCAGTATTGATCTTTTCGTCTAACTCTCAACAAGAAAGCAAATAAGCATATTTACCAAAATGTTGGAACTATTCTTTTAAGGATTGTAGAACTCCTGATTTGGAGAAAGTCTCCTGATTATTGGACTGTTGGGACAATTGTAGGTAATAATTATGGAGCTGGGCGGCACTGTGGTGCGGTGGTTAGCACTGTCGCCTCACAGCAAGAAGGATGTGGGTTCAAAGCCTTTCTGTGTGGAGTTTGCATGTTCTCCCTGTGTCCGCGTGGGTTCTCTCCGGGTGCTCCGGCTTCCTCCCACCATCCAAAGACATGCAGCCTAGGTTGATTGGTTACCCTAAATTGTCCTTAGGTGTGAGCGTGAGTGGTTGTTCGTCTATGTGTGGCCCTGCGATGGACTGGCGACCTGTCCAGGGTGTACCCTGCCTTGTGCTTGATGGAATTATGGAGCTGAGGGAGGGGGGTTAATTTTCTGAGAAAAAAGAATCAATACAAGAAGAATCAATCTCAGAAAACACATTTTTTCACATTGAGTGCTTGTGTTATCAAAAGCTACTTTCACGAACCAGTTATTACATAATTTCTTGCTGGTGTGGGAGGAAAAACCCTAAGACCGGGTCAGAGGCCTAGTGGGCCTTCACTCTCACACTCTGAATTCTTCAATGTACAGTAACTTGTAACTCAACTAATGTGAACTCTTGTCCTTTCAATGTATCAATGTATCATTTCATTGAAAAAAACTACATATGGCCCCTTTAACAAGTGAAAGGCTGTTAGAATTTAAGGGAGTGACGGGGAAGTTTTCTTAGAAATTTCTGATGAATATTTCTTAATGGACTTGTTCATACTAACTGTGCCGAATGAGGTGGCGGACAGTGTTTCTTGGGATTGTCACCTAAAATATTTCAATGTGGAGACTTTAATTGGTCTAATTGTTGAATTGAAAAAATACACCCTCAAAGTTTTAGGTTTCAGGCTAAATTCACAATCATGTGTTTTTTCTCAGTATAAATTTTCAATGATTTTAAATAGTTTATGGTTTACTGTCTTTATTGTCCACAATGTGGAAATTTGTCTTTAGCTTCATAGGCAGATTAAAAACCACATCATTAAAAAAAAAAAATCACACTACAAAAACATAATAAATAACACAAAATACACAGTACAGACCATAACGGATAGGATTCCAGTGTGGAGACATTAGGAATTTGGTATGAAAGAATTTTTGTAAATGTTCTTCTTTGCTGCAGCTGCTTATAGCGCCTTCCAGAGGGCAATTTGTTAAATTCATTGAACGACAAGACAACAAGACAATAATTAACAATTTTACTTTTTAAATTTTTTTTTACTACTGTCTATCCAAAGTCTTTCATCATCACTGGAGAAAATCCTTAACCAAACGGACACTCACAGCTCACCAACTTGCACACACATAACTGATGCACACACAAATACACTTACCAAATGCAGTGGTCACTTGGTGGCCTTCCCTTACGTTTCCTCTTTGGCCTCAATAGAAAGTTAATAATTTCAGTGCTGAGTTATGTGTCTGCCACAGCAGTTTAATGTGTGAATGATCTGAAAAGACTCCATATATGACAACGACCAGACTCCAGCTATGCCACAGTACTTACTCTCTTGGTAGGTGATATTTAAAATTATGTATCGACCTTGCATTTTTTCTTTTAGGATAAAGGTTTGGAATAAGCTATTTTTAATGAAAAAAGCCAAATAATCCATTTAATTAAATGCTTTAAGTGATTTCTGTAGCTTACAAATACTTCAGCTTGGACACTGGCAAACATAAGCTTTGGGTGTTAATGTAAAAGTAGAACTGGATGATCTAACATGTCTGATATCTAACAAAATGTACTTACTTGTCATTGTAACTGTTCACATGCTCATTTTCTACAGCTAGACTGTCCTGTTGTAGTCGCTGCCATTTTTGTCTCCGGCATTGGTGGGACATTTCAATATGGATATGGTTTATCGGTGATGACTTCTCCATCTGCTGTAAGTTGTACTACAAAAAATCATGCTAAAATGTCAAGAAATTATGTCATATACAAGTTTATTATAAAATGTATTAATTATTTCCACATTGGCTATAAAGACGACTGTATGGTACTTCTATAAAAAAATAATTTTATAACACTTACATTATATGCTGCCACAACTAAAATGAAAATGAGACTATCTCTACATGTGATAATTGCAGTTTATAAAAGAGCTGGTGAACAAAACATGTCTGCAGAGATACAATGTATCCTTGGAGCAGTGGCAGATTTCTCTCATCTGGTCCTTCACTGTATCCATTTTCTGCATCGGGGGGCTACTGGGGTCGCTGGTGGCTGGTCCATTGATCACAAAATATGGCAGGTCAGTGAATTCACAATTTAAATTAATGTAACACCATCAAACAAAACAAACAAAATTAAACTTTTAGCTTGTTTCCTGTTTTTTTATTTTTTTATTCTGGCCACAGGCTTTAACACAAAACTCTCTGGCTCCCTGTCTCACAGAAAGCATAGCCTTTTGTTAAACAATATTGTGGCTATGACTGGAGCTGTGTTGATGCTCTTGAGCCAAAAAGCCATGTCCTTTGAGATGATTATGGTGGGACGATTTCTCTATGGCATCAATTCAGGTGAACCTACTGTATGAGGAAAACCATTACATCTTTTTGCTTTAAAGAGGTGGTATTATGCTTTTTGGCTTTTCCCCTCTCCTTTATTGAGTTATATACCTTTTTTGTGCATGTAATAGCTTTGCAAAGTGAAAAAGCAGAAAGTCCACCCCAAAGTTGTTACTGAGATGTAGAGACAGAGCTCAGTTAAAACGTTATGGATGAAAGATACTTTTGTTACAGCTTAATAACTCACCACCTGAAACTCTTGCTCCAGTCCATGTTGCCAAGCTGGTCGGCAACATGTACAGCTGAACCGAAGCTATTAGTCCTTAACTAGGAATTTCGCATGTTCAACTCCCAACAAAGATAATTTAGAGACAAGATGTATCACTCCATAACTGAAACAAAGCTTTCAACACACAGGGTGGAAAGAGGAGCTGCAGCAATGTGCAGTATGACAAAAATATGGTGTTTTTTGAAAATTAAACCATCTAAACCTGTTCTGATACAACCCCTAAATAAGATTTTGAACCTGAAAATGAGCATAATACCACCTCTTTAACTTTTTCATAGATGGCTGCTTCATCACTCTTGGCTCTCATTCTCTCATTTAACCCTACAGACAATCAATTTCTACTTATACTTGTCACTATTATATTCAAGTAATAGTAGGCAATTTGTCACACAGTTACTGATCATTGACTCTTCTCTAAATGGACGTCTCTAGGAGTCAGTATCTCAGCTCAAACCATGTACCTTGTTGAATGCGCCCCCAAGAAGCTGCGAGGGATGGTGGTTGTGACTGTCGCTACCTTCATCTCCTTTGGGAAGTTCTGTGGTCAGCTGCTGGGGATCAGGTGAGGTGGCCAGTGTCATAGATACTGTGGAGAGTCAAGTAAAGGCTCAGCTAGTGGAAGCTTCAAATGACAGCTCTCATGTGGACAGAGCTCTCCTAAAGACTAGGGATGTGACGAGACACTTAACCCATGAGATGAGACGAGATTGGAGATTGGGTTCACAAGATCGACACAAGACAAGATTTTAACACTATTTTTAAGAAATCTTTAATGCTAAATTATATGAAAATTTTGAGCATTAAACACTTTATTCCCTGCATTCTGATGAATTTTCTGCACCAGTTTATGGTGATTTTTTATTTTTATGTAAAGAGAAACACAAACCCGCAACCCTGTACACAGGATAAGCGGTTGACGACGGATGGATGGATTGATGGATAAACACAAAATTGACGTGGCAGGTGGCAATTCAAAATCTATAGCCTAACTGTAACAGAAAATAATGCAGTGCAGCTCTCAGTCATTCTATGCTGCTTTCAGATCTGTTTATCCTGTAGATCAACTTTTCTCATGTAATATCATCCCTGCTGAGTCATGATTTAGTCTTCCTTCCTCTTTGTGTCTTTGTTTGGGGAAGTATCCTCTTTAAATGTGCATGTGGCATCTTTTCACCTCAATGATAAATTATTTAATTTTTATTCAGTTAGAAACTCCTGGACTTTAATAGCTCCTGTGTTTCAGCAGACTTTCTGCTGATCTTCAAAACTTTCTGCACAATCAGAAACAAATCTGTGTTCTCTGTCATGTCCAGAGAAAAGTCATGATATAACGAGACTAACGTCATCATTTGATGAGAAGTCTGCCAGCCCTTTACTCTGCTGTGCATTATGTTATTGATCCGATGGTAGCAACTTTATCCCCTTCAGACCGTTTGACCGAAGCAGTTTGGGACTGCATGCTGCATGTGAAACCGAAAGTAACTGAAACAGGCATGATTGTGTGATCAGGCAGAAATCTCACCACAAATCCCCACACATGTTCTGCAGCTCCGTTAAACTGCAGCTCACAGTTCCAAACAGAGCAGGCTACACTTCAGTTTTTAGATTTTTATGTTGCAAAACTCTATCAGCTACGTTACCACTTGTCACAGCTGTCTGGACTCACAGCGCGAGGGGTGTGGTTGGGCATTTGCTGGTGTGGCATCAGCTGGGTGGAGTTGATTAGCTTTGCGAGTTTATCTTATCAGTTATACATTTGTATGAGGAGGAAGGATAATTAGACTCGGGTGAAACTAATCAGGGTGTAGCAAACAATCAACACTGGCAGAAAACACACAATGGCAGGAAATTATACACGTTAAAGACACATGACGAAGGACTCTTTTAACATAAAATAGGAAATAACTAAAGAAAACCCAAAACTATGACACTGGTTGGTTCTGGTGAAAAGATTTTTACCCACAGTCAGTCCACCACACCTACGGGATGGATGGTCATGACATTTTGTACATTTGTGGTCCCCAGAAGATGAACCCTATTAATTTTCCTCTAGTGCCACCATGAGGTTGACATTACATTTACTCATTTGGCAGACGCTTTTATCCAAAGCCACTTACATTTGACAAACAACATACAAGCATTAACAAAGCATCAAATACAGCACGAGATCTACAACTGACAATATATACTAGTAAGAGCAGCAATAAATACAAGTAAGAGCTAAAAGCACATATTGCATCAATGGGGTAAATACCTAGGGAAAGAAGTACGAGTTAACAAAAAAGTGCAATCAATACAAGATAATTGTAGGGCATAGAAGAAGAAGAGCACAGGAAGTGCATGTTAGAGGTTAGGAGTTAGAGGTGTTATAAAAGGACGTGTTTTCAAGAGCTTCTTGAAGTTAGAGAGGGACGCCCCTGCTCTGACGGCGACAACTATTAGATGCATTGCTATTAAATGTGGAACAGATATTCATGCCCCCCTCTGAATGAATCGTAATAACTCTGATAATTGACTGACTTTTCAGCTAGAACCATCATCAGGTTGAAATTTTAATTTGTTCAGTGCTTAGTTTTATGACATTCCCATCAGCCTCAGCCAAGTTGTTATAAACCCATACAACATGGTTCCCTTTAAACAAAACACTTTACCATGTAGTGTTTTTGTGCATGCCACTGATGTTGCCCTTGCAGTGAGTTACTTGGTACACAGGAGAGATGGCCCTGGCTGCTTGGTTTCAATGGTTTCACTGCGTTACTCCAACTCTTCACGCTGCCCTTCCTGCCGGAATCCCCTCGCTTCCTAATGCTGGAAAAAGGAGACCAACAGGCCTGCGAGAAAGGTGTGAAAAGGGAATTCTGAATACAGCACAATCCCTTCTGCAAATAAATTATTTTTCAAGTTTATTTTAATGGTCACTACCTCAATCTAAGGCTTAAGCTGCTTTGTCACACTCTCTTAGCATTAAGAAGGCTATGGGGCCACAATGATTACAGCAGGGAGGTGGAGGAGATGATGGAGGAGAAAGCTGCCTTGCAGAGTGTTTACAGCCACTCAGTGATGGAGCTGATTCAGAATCCAACAGTCCGCTGGCAGCTCCTCACCATCATCGTTACCTTCACCACACTGCAGCTCTGTGGCATCAACACTGTGAGTGATATGTTAGGTTAAACACTGAACACTCTTTTGCACAAGAATAGTCAAATTTTAACTACACTTACTGTACACCTCTTTCTAGGTAATATTGTGTGCGAAGTTAATGTTCAGCATTAATTAGGCCTGTATTGATTTCATCATTATTTGTTCAGTATGATGTAGTATTATTAGAATATACATCTACATGGATAGTTTGCTGTTTTACAGAGGGTTATGTACCAGACTATCTCTTGGCTCTGAGCAGTTGCCATGCAACCAGCAGTGACTCCAATGGTCTAAACATAGTCTGTCTGCCATATAAACCCCCGAAAAACAGCAAATCGCCCTTTTGTTTGTTTTTGTGTACAGATTAAACAAACGAGATATAACATGTTAATTAATGAGATTTAGAGGTGATGTTAGACTGATTTTATTACGTTTCAGAGTCCAGCCAGATTTCCCCTGATTCTAGTCTTTGTCCACAGCTAAGCTAACTGGCTGCTGGCTATAGCTTCATATTTACCATACAGATATGAGAATGGTATCAATCATATCACCTATCTCTCCACCAGAAAGCAAATAAGCCCATTTCCCAAAATGTATTTCTTTGAGGTGAAAGTCTTAGAAAAGTCAAGAAAAAAATGCTGGTGCTGGTGCTCTTTAAGAAACTTCAGTAACTCATTTATTTACTCAAAGGAGCATCGTGGAGATTATAATATAAAGCTTTAATAAATCTATATGTTACTTTTTTCCATTAAACCGTTAAAACTTGATAGACATATTTTATGAGTTTTGAATCAGTGATATTTGATATTTGATAACAGTCAAAAACAATTAGAACATATTGAACATTTAAAGAGGCGGTATTATGCTTTTCCCCCTCTCCTTTATTGAGTTATATATCTTTTTTGTGCATGTGCTAGGTTTGCAAAGTGAAAAAGCCCAAAGTCCACCCCAAAGGGAGTTCCCATCTCCCACAGAAAACTCTGCTCTTAACTGCCTGAAAACAGCTGGTTTGTAGTCCAGCCTTTACTTCCCTTTCTTGTGACATCACAATGAAAATACCTGTCATAATGCTGACTGAGCGACTAGTCTGACATGGCCTCAAAAACACCGGTGGAAAAACACTGAGCTGTAGCACACCTCTCCTCTCCCTTCTAAACACTCGCTACCCTCCAGGCAGTCTTGGACATGATGTTGTTCCTGTGATGTAGAGACAGAGCTCAGTTAAAACTTTATGGATGAAAGATACTTTTGTTACAGATTAATAACTCACCACTCTGAAACTCTTGCTCCAGTCCAAATTGTCAACCTGGTCAGCAACATATAGCCTACAGCTGAATCAAAGCTGTTCACCGCCTTTCGCTGCTTCTGATTGGCTATTAATCCTTAACTAGGAACTGCGCATGTGCAACTCCCAACAAAGATCATTTAGAGACAAGATGTGTCACTCCATAGCTAAAAACGAAGCCTTCAACACACAGGGTGAAAAGAGGAGCTGCAGCAATGTGCAGTATGACGAAAAATATTGTGTTTTTTGAAAATTAAACCATGTAAACCTGTTCTGGAACAACCCCTAAATAAGATTTTGAACCTGAAAATGAGCATAATACCACCTCTTTAAGTCACACTTAAAATATTTACCTTAAAAAATAAAAATAAAGTTAAATTAAAACACCCCATTACCTACTCCTCACTGCATCCATCACTCAAAATAAAAAAAACCTAAGAAGAAGTCTTTAGTTTGGGGGGGGTTGGTGTTACAAATAGACATAATGTAATTTGGTTCTTGTTCAAATACTTCTCTCCAGGTGTACTTTTATTCTTTTGATGTGTTCCGTGCGGCAGGCATCCAAGAGCACCAGTTACGTTATGTCGCCTTAGGAACGGGGCTGTGTGAGTTGTCCACCTCTGTAGCCTGCGTAAGACCCATTTCACTGATATCCTCATGATGTTTTCTATCTGTTTTATAGCCTTTTACCATCATAGATATTTGTTTGTTTTCTATTTCTTCTTTTTGTGATTTAGGAAATGTAAACCTTTCTTCTGCTCTCACAGTTTTCTCAAAATGTTCTCCTTTCATATGATCTGTGAGCTCCCCCCTGTGGTTTTATTATGAACATGTTTTGATGTTGCAGTTCTTCATCATTGAAAATACGGGTGTAAAAGTCCTGTTGTTCAGAGGATACATTGGAATGTCTGCAACACTGATCCTCCTCACCATCGCTCTGTACCTGCAAGTGAGTCACCACAAAACCAGCCACTGTTTGGAGAATATTTATGCATGTCATGATGCTTAAAATATTACATGTAATGACCAACAGCAACTGAAATCACTCATAAACTCAAGCAATCCAACAGACCCGTTAATTTTCCTCAGAACCAGGTCCCCTGGATGCCATACTGCAGCATGGTCCTCATTTTCATCTTCATTTTATTTTTTTCAAGTGGACCAGGTACGTTTATCACTTCAAATTTGATTACAGCTTTCCTTCTTTGAATCAACAATAATTACATTTTGCTGGAGTGTATACAATCCTTCAGTGGTTGGAAGAAGTATTCAGATCCTTCACTTCAGTAAAAATAGCAATACCACACTGTGAAACTCTAAAAGTCCTGCATGCAAAACCTTACTTAAATTAAGGTATGTAAGTATTATCAGCAAAGTTTACTTCATCAAAAGTAAAATACTCATTCTGCAGAAAACTGGTCCCTGTCAGTGTTTTACTATTATATATGATGTTTTGGATTAATATTACTGCTCCATTACTGCTGGAGATGTTTCAGGTTGTGATCATTTTAATTTATACTGTCGTCAGAAACCTACAGAAATCCATCATATTCTATAAGATCATCATATGTTTGTACAGGGCAGGACATGGCACATTCAGTTCCCTAAGCAGGCTTTCCATTGGCTGCATTTTCCAGCAAATTCAAGGGGATTTTATATAGATATTATTTAGCTGAAGCAGTAGGGGAATGTTCTCAAACCCATTAAAGGAATAATTTATCCTTCAGTTTATCAGGAAAATTTAAATCACCACATTTGGAGATACATGGTTTTTACTGGACAAAGAGAATGAACATTTAGCAAAGTCAAAAGTACACTGTAGTCTTTGAGATGTAGTGGTATAAAGTGATATAAAATGGAAATACTCAAATAAAATACAAGTACATCAAATGTATAATTAAATACAGTACTTGAGTTATTGTTACAGTTCCACCACTGCAGTCCTTCCTTCTGTTCTTGGCCCTCAGCTGGAGCAACCGCTCCTCTTCCAGGGGAAATTTTAATGCAGTCATTCAGATCAGCTGGATACACCATCGGCTGCAGTCTCAACTGGGTGGGCATGTGTGTGCTGGGGATGCTCTTCCCTATCATAGTGGTAAGCACATTACTATCTTGGTACAATCTGGGATATTTTAATAATAGAATACAATATTCAAGTGAAATCAGATGATCACTCACACCAATTTACAAATGTCCTCCAAAATGTTTCCTTTGCAGGAGAAACTGGAATACTTTTGTTTTCTCTTATTCCTGGTTTTCTGTGCTGGCTGTGGGCTGTATGTGAAGTTCTACATCCCTGAGACCAAGAATCGTACAGTGCTGGAGATTGCTGCAGAGTTTGAGAGGATGCACTGCAAACCTGAAGTATCACAGAGGAAAACATCCACTAAACAGAAACTCAGCGGAATGAAAACATACGACACCAAGTTCTGATTATATTCACTGAGGTCTAAAAGTAACAAACAGCAAACATTTAGAAGATTTCAATAGCTTGAATGTAACTAAAGCAGAAATACCAACTGAATTATATACCATGAGATTAATAAAAGTGGCATTTCTGTCTTTTTGTATGTGCCTGTTTTGTGTTTGTGTGGTGAACTCTTACTTACTTATCCCTATTGGATCCAGTTGACAGACTAGGCTGTGTTCACCTTTGCCCTTTTAGCTTAAAACAAGGTTTGGTCCTTGAGGTTATCAGTGGTCTCTGGCTCTACAGATAGACATTAGAACATCCATGGAGGCTCTTGATGAATGTAGTTTTGCTGATCAACAGTTGTGTGTGTGTGTGTGAGTGTGGGTGGGGGTGGGTGTGACTATGACTATATGACACCAACTATTCTGTTGCAGTGGTGAAACAACAGTTGTCACAAAACCTTCTTACATAAAACATTACATTGCCAACAAAGAATGTTGTCTACTTTCCAAGGCTTTAAATCTATCACAGAAAATGTTCCCTTCCTAAAACACCAATCAACAAGAAGAACTCATCAAACATGAAGATTACTGTGTAAAAAGTGAAGCATTTATATCATCATATGATGAGCAATAAGTCTTCAATCTCACCTAAATCACATAACAAAGTATTTCCTCTTCAGTGAAACCATGGAACCTGCTTGTTTCAGTAGCTAAATGTAAGCCACGGAGCGCAACTCTGCGCACATACATCTTTGACTTTTAGTTTAATTCTGCTTGACATTATGTTTCTTGACCGCAGGTGTTTTTCATGAGATAATTTGTAATGTTAGTCTTTATCTTGTGTGTACATGTTGCTGACAGTACTCCTGTAGGCCTAGCCTACTTGTTGCTGTACAGCTTTGGGCAAATCAGTCATTCAAAATACTTGACCTGTTTTGCTTTTGATGAATGTACTTTAGCTGTTCGGATCACAGCGTGACTGACAGTCATCGGGAAACTCCTACCAATTACGCAGACGTGCAGCCCCGGCGCATGTGTGCGCCTCTGATAAGACAATCTACACGTTCAAAGACAGATGTCTTGCAAGGCATGTGTGTGACAAATGCGAAATGCTGTCAGCCTGGATGCGCGTGTCCCGTAGCCGTTGACATCACAATAAGCAAAAAAGGTCGCTGGGAGGAGTTCCAGTATGCGTACGAAATTACTCCACGCCTACAACATTTGTGTACATTTGTTCATTTAAATGTCTCCAATAAACTAACAGCAAGAAGTGCTGTGTGCAGACTGCAGAACAGATGCATGTGAATATCACTCACAGTAGTTCATTAGCTTCAGGAGACGTCGTTTGAAGTTTGCAGCTGCACAAAGGACGCAATGGATACAGATCCCAGCATCTTCTCTGATGAGCCCATGATGAAGAGAGGCTTTGACCAAAAGTGAGTCATTTCAGGTTAATATCAGTGTGACACACAAATGTACTCCAAAATTTACAACAGCAGTAATGTTTTAGATATGCTTTCAGCTTAGTGGTAAACTGATATTTACATGCTTATCAGGAAGATAACAATTAGTGAAATTTTGTTAAGAAAGTTAAGTGAATCATTTTCACAATAATTTCTGTGTTTCATTGGTCACAACACCAGTTAAGGACACGTTTCTGTATTTATTTCTACATTATTAACATTATTTTCAGTGATGGAATAACTTGGCTATTACAATTCAACAACAATCATCTATAATATACACCAGGGTTTTTTCCACAAATCACAAGTCCTTTCTGATACGTGCTTCTATCCTCTGATGGTTTGCACACTACTACTCAACATTTTAATCAGCAGATAATGAAACCACTAGCCGCTCCTCTAAAGTAAGTGCCCCTGCATCAGACACACTTTTATTTGCTGTATTGATCTCAGGAGTAAGATCCTCAGTGCTCAGCAACAACACACTTACAAAAACAAAGCTTGCAGGTAAATTATTTACAGCTGCACATAACTACAGTTACACCGGTGAACAGTCTGTCACAAATGAATCATGGATCCTTTTCAAAAATATATATGTTGGTCAAACAGTGGAGGAGATAGTTGAGGGTATGATAACATCTTTACCCGCCGCCCAGCTTCACTTATGGGGACAAGGTATTCAAGTTTCTGAATTTAAAAAAAAGTTCCTGTGATGGGAAAGAGCCAATAAAGCAACCATGAGAAAACCTAATAATGTCAGACAACAACAAAATAGGTCTCTTCACCTTAGGTGACTTCTTCCCCTCAGGCCTACATGAGTCTCTGGGTATGATTGATGCAAACAAGCTGATAAGCAAAGACCTGAGTGTACTGCAACATACTGAACCTTAAGAAACCTGCTAAGTCATGGATTGTGCAATTGTTTGGACACCACACAATGAACCCAACATGTAACATTTCTGAGGTCTTGTGCTCCAAAATTGTTGTCCTGGTCATGTGTCTTTAGACTTCAGTTGTGCTGTTGTGTTTCATCACAGGGTATTCGTCAACAGAAGTCTGACTCTGGAAGACATCAGATGCTATGGCTTTGACATGGACTACACGATGGCAAGTATGTCAAGAAGTCGCTCTGGTGTATTAGCTGTGGAATTTTCTTTTGAACTGCCTACACAAGAGTTACTGACTTTATGTTAATGGTTTTGCTGTGTGTGTGTGTTTGTAGTGTATAAGTCACCTGACTACGAGAGCCTGGGCTTTGAGCTGATAAGAGACAGAATGGTGTCTATTGGATACCCTCATGAGATTCTACGCTACACATATGACCCCTCCTTCCCCACACGGTTTGTTTTAAGTCTACCTCTGTAACCGAGGGTTCACGCAAAAATAAAGAATAACATCTGTTTATCAAATGTGCAACAGAAGAGGATATTTAAGAAAAATGTTTTGTTACAGGTTTATTTTCTTTTTTCCTCATTCTGAGAGAATACAATGTGGGAAAAGTTGTTTTTATATTGCATGGATGATGTGATCAATGACCCACATTTTTTCCAAAGACAGCAATTTGTCGTTGTTTTCAACTGGGATTCATAGACACATTCATTATTATGATTAAATGTTAGGTCTAACTTTCAAAAGTTTCTGACTTCATAAATCAAAGGATTCATCGAAAAAATTATATGCAGGTTCAGCAATAATTAAAATAATTGCTAGTCGCAACAGTTAGATAACATTGTTGCTTCCTTTATATGTTCTTCAACTCTCACTCCATGTCGTGTCTTGATAACCTTGTTCACGCCTCCTTTTCTTTTCTTTTCTTTTCTTTTCTTTTCATTTCCCACCCTCAGCGGTTTAGTGATCGACACCACATATGGGAACCTCCTGAAGGTGGATTCAAATGGGAATATTTTAGTCTGCAGTCATGGCTTCCGCTTCCTCAAAGGGTAAAATACAAATCCTCACAAAATACAGTGACACATACCCTGGTGGGGGGACGGGTAGAGCGGGTTGGCCGTTAGTCAGAAGGTCGGCGGTTCAATCCTGGCTCCCCCGGGCTGCATGTTGAAGTGTCCTTGGGCAAGACACTGAACCCCAAATTGCCCCTGGCCCCGTGTATGAATGTGTGTGAATGGTGAATGCAGATGTAGTGTAAAAGAGCTTTGAGTAGTCGAAAAGACTAGAAAGGCGCTTTACAAGTACGGAGCATTTACATTTACCCTGGTGAATTGCTGTTGTGATGATGGACATCTCTACATGTGAGCTCATGACAGACAAAAGAGACAAGGAAGAGAAACAGATGGACAAAGAAATTAACACAGCAAGTTTAATAATCAATAAAACCCATTGTAAAAACTTATAAGAAATTACAGAAGAGACACTTCTATACTTTTACTTAAGTACAATTGTTGATTTAGTTGTACTGTTACATCTAAATACACTGGTTATATATTTAAAGAACAAAATCAGAAGGGTTTTTTTCTAATTTAGTTTTCTGATGTTAAATATATTGAGTGGAATACATTCAAATACATTAAAAATAATTTGACTGTGAGTTTTAACATACAGGTTAAACTGAAATCCATCAAAGTACCATGGATCCAAAAGGAAAAGTCTTTTTTTTCAATACTTTTGCTGTGACTGATTGAGAGAAAATGTATAACTACCGTTTAAGTGAAAAGCTGACTCTCATATTTGTTACTCATAGTTATTTAATAATAAGGGAAACACAAACCACTAATAATGACTAACCATTCCGGTCAGCTGAGAAGAGCACGCTCAATGTGGCTTTACGCAGCAGCAGATAAAGCCAATTGCTTTCCATTTATTTTTTCTCTAATAGATTACCACAAAATGTCACATGGACTTTTTTTGTAGCCCTGAAATTCCGTGCACATTTGTTCACCACTTTGTGTCATCTCGTCAGTTAGCTTGTGCCTGTGCATCTGCAGTCTTGACCCATGTTATGTTTGTGTTCCACAGGCAGGAGATTCCCAACTACTACCCCAACAAGTTCATTCGCAGAGATGACACCGACCGTTTCTACATTCTTAACACTCTCTTCAATCTTTCAGGTATAAAATTGACCTTTGGAGAAAATGTTGAAATTAACATTTATATAAATCTTTTCTATGTAATTCTGTAATCTTTGCTACCCCAGGCTACGGAAGCCCTGAACGGCAAGTGAGAATTTTGTTTAAGTCTGATTGTTTTCTCTCCTGTGTTTACAACATAAGAAAAGGTAGATAAAAGGTTTGCCAGGACCTTTCTCTAAATTCCTTATAAAAAACTTTTTGTTAATATTTTTTTTTTCAGCTGATAAAAAAGATAACTTTTTTTTACCCACCTGTTTCATAGAGTAAATTGTTTTTCAAGGAACTTAGAAAGATGATCCTAGCAATGCCTTTTCCCACACTGGTTCTTAATTAATAAACACAGGAGAGAAAACTATATAGATCAGACTTACTTTTGTACCCGACCCATCATAATTACTTTTTTACTCTAACTAATTATATACTGTAAGTTTACATATGATATCAGCAACTTAAAAGTATTAGCCACCTGAACTGAATTCCCATGCACCCTGCAGAGACTTATGTCTACAGCTGCCTTGTGGACTTCTTCACCAGATGCAACAGATATACAAAGTGAGTTGACTCGCTCCTCCCCCTCTCAACCATGAATTATTATAAATCAACCAGTGAGTTATTTGTCAAACAACCTTCCCCACGTCTTCTCTGCTGTTTAATTTCTTCCAGCCTTCCAAAAGGTTACCAGTACGGCGATTTGTTAATGTCCTTTAGAAGCATGTTTCAGGATGTTCGAGATGCAATGGACTTCATTCACGATACGGTGAATTAACAGATCAAAAGATAGAATTGTGTGCCATTGTTGTTTGAAATCATGCTTTGTCCCTATTGTATAGCAACTGTTATACTGTGTGTGCTTTGTAGGGAATTCTGAAAGAACGAACTATCAGGAATTTGGAGAAATACGTTGTCCGAGAAGTGAGTAAACTGACAGGATTATGTGTTATAGCTTTTTATTTTGACCAAAAAACAACAACAACAACACAAAACAGTTGAAATATGAAACAAATGAACATGTTCTTTACAGCCAAATCTCCCGGTACTCTTGACCCGGATTAAAGAGGTAGCCAAGGTCTTCCTCGCCACCAACAGTGACTACAGCTACACTAATGTGAGCTTCTGAACATAGTGTTCAAATTATACGAAAACAAAGTGGAGACCTTAAAAATTACCAACAAACGTGTTTTTTTCTCCATTTTCATCAAGGCCATTATGAAATACCTGCTGGAAAGTAATGCTAAGGTAAGACAAATTTAACTTTGGTTTGGTTATTCAGAAAATGTCAATTTAATGGGATCAGGTGAATTTAGCATTTCTTCTTTCATTCTAGCCTGGAAGTCCAAAAAAGCCCTGGCAATCCTTCTTCGACCTCGTCGTTGTGGACACCAGAAAGCCACTGTTCTTTGCAGGGGGGACTGTCCTGAGACAAGTGGACACGGTTTGAAAAATTCTCTCATACTGAAAATGTACATGTTAATGTTTGAACTGCAGCAGGTTTCAGTAATATTTTGCATTTTGGACACAGGACACAGGAAAGCTTCGGATTGGGACTTACACAGGCGACCTCCACCATGGAACTGTTTACTCCGGAGGTTAGTCACATGACATTAATGGAAGTAATAAATAAGAACACAAAATGGATTTTAGAGGTGTAGAATCTGTGACATGTCTCATTGCTTAGACTTTAATTAAGCCAAGTAGAGATGGATTTCTCTTTCTGTTGTGGCTGTGTACACTGGAGAGTTTAAACTGTAGAAATTTGGGTGACAATGGTTTAGCAACTCCAACAGTGAGTGGAAAAGGAGAATATTTAGCCATCTACAGTTACTCACTAGGCGATTATTGATATGTCCTACTTTGACCTTTGGGTATGTAATTTTCCTGCTCAGAAAGTCAGTGGCTGTCTGGTCAGACAATAGTGGAAATAACTGGGATTTGACTCCTGCAAGCTTATTATTTGGAGTTAGTTGTACTTTGGGTGAATATTTTGGGCTGTAAATTGAGTCTATAGATAGGATGGATAAATAAATGTATATGTCTGGAAACAATAAAATGCTGCAATAATTAGAATTTTATTAACAACTGAGTGTTTAATTATACAATTTAATCACTACTGAGCACTGTGATTAATTTTGTGTAATGTAATTTTATTTTTCCAGTTCCACACTCCATGTTTTATGTGTTTTATTTGTTTTTGTTTTCTGTTTTTCCCCCTCATTTGATTGTATTTTGGGTATTTTATTTTATTTTATTCACTGTTTACTGGATTTTATTGAATTGTTGTGCAGATTTGTTTAAAAAATTTTTTTTTGCTTTTAACCTTGTTTAGATTTCTTATTTGCTTTTTTTGGCCTATCTAGAATCTTTACATCCCAAAATTCCCAAATAAATTTGAGCAACTTCACCATATGTTTTTTGGACACTTAAATTTTTGGTCTGAATTTGTAAACTCAAAAAAGAAAGTGCACATTTTTGAATAACCTGGAAATGTCAAAGTGGAATTCAAACAAATTCTGTGTTTAATATTAATCATTCAGTAATGGTTACATTTCACAATTAGGTATTAGCTATTTCAGTTTTAAAATTCTATTATGACATATCTTTGCTTCCATATAAATGTATTTTATGTGTGCTTGAATGCATTTGCATATTGTAATAATTGAATTCCTTCTCCATGTCAGTTTATGTAATATTCTAAATAAAATTCTGGTTGCAGGATCGTCGGACATTGTCAGTGATCTGTTGGATGTCAAAGGGAAGGACATCCTATATGTTGGCGACCACATCTTTGGCGACATCCTCAAATCTAAGAAACGTCAGGGCTGGAAGACTTTTATGGTCATCCCGGAGCTCACCAAGGAGCTGCAAGTGTGGCAGGAGAAGAAATGTATGACCAAGTAGACAACATCACGCTGTTGTATAATTATCATTTTGATGGTTTTCAAAGTCTAGATGACTTTCTTGGTTTTGCAGATCTGTTTGAGGAGCTGAAACGTCTCGACATCTTCTTAGCTGAGCTTCACAAGTGAGTTTGTGTCCATCTTTACTTGTTGCATAATTAACACTTATTGGATGTTTATAAAGTTTATAAACAGTAAGGTTCATTAGGTCACGTGGAATTGGGAAATACATTATGATTTATGATTTATGATTTGTACCCTTAGAATTAATTGTCTAATAATCAATACCAGTATTAGTAAAGACAATAAAGTTTAATCTGTGTGATGTACAAATCATTATCTGCTGGAGTGCATGTAACAAGCAAATTGTTATGGAAAACAACAAACAAAAAGTCATGTGTATTATGTGTTAATTATTTCTGCTGCAACAACTGATATTTATCAAACTCTTTAATACATTTTGGTAACATTGCTGCCATGACATCAACATTTTATTGTCCGCTTTCTACAAGAACTATGACATAGTTACATGAAGTGATGCAGTAGCTGATAATTGTTTCCTGTGTTTGTCATCTGAAGGAATCTGGACAGCAGCAGTGAAGACATCAGTGCCATTCACACAAGAATGAAGGTGAGCGTCTCATATCAAAAGATAACTTTTTCAGGCAGTTGTACACAGGGGGATCTGGAAATTAAGTAAAGAAGTTGCTGTTTTAACTACATTAGAAGATGTTACATTATCTTATCTATACATTAAGATGTTTTTCTCTTGTTGCCGTAATCCCAAGAACTTGACAGCTTCGCTGTCATCTACATTACAGTTACTCATTTAGCTGATGCTTTTATCCAAAGCAAATTACTAGAAATAATTAGGGGTTAAGTGCCTTGCTCAGGGACACATCGGTCGCAGTAGGAATTGAAACCCAATCTCTCACACCATAAGAATGTGGCTTATCCACTGTTCTATTGCGTCATACATGAAATAATGGGACCTTTATTGCTGACTTTGTACACTGCACCAGAATAATCATTTGAAAAACATTGTTAGTGAAAAGTGCGTAGGTTTAAAATCTCTTTAAAACCAAACAATCCCGCACACTGTCCATGTATTATAAAGTATAAAATATATTATTATTACAGGTTTTCTCACTCGCTTTGGTACATTTATTCATTTAGCTGACGCTTTTATCCTTTGTCCTTTTGTCGTTGTTTACGAACAAGATAGTCAAAATGTTTATGTAATTTGTTGACAGACCATGTCATTGTGATGCAGAAAAGAAAACGAAAGGACTGTTTTACAGCACTGCATAGCACAACGAAAGAAATTACAAAATTAGAAATGTAAACATGTGAAACACTCCTAAAGCTAGAAAATATGATGTTGTGATTTGTTGTTGTCTATTCTTATTTTGTTTATGCACCACGGTCTGTATGAGACAGCATTTCGTTCAGCTGTATATTTTAATGCGAAGAATGACAATAAAATTTGACTTTAACTTTGATTTTGACAACTTATTCAGCCTTTTGCATGTAGTGACTTATGTAATGAACTTGTGCCTAGATATTTTGGGGGGTAAGACTATTCAACAGAGAACCGGTACAATACATTGTGATCAGCAGGACATAAGACAATTGTACATAGTCATTGCATTAATGAGAAATTGTTTTTAAGATGCGCACAAGTGATTGGCGACCTGTCCAGGGTGTACCCTGCCTTTCGCCCGATGTCAGCTGGGACTGGCTCCAGCCCCCTGCGACCCTGTATGCAGGATAAGCAGTTGACGATGGATGGATGTGCACAAGTGAATAGATAATGTGGGGGTTGAACATGCAGTTTTGAGAATTTCAAATCTGAACTGAGAAATGTACTAAAGCGACTGAGAAAAACTGTATTATTATTAGCGAGTGAGTTTAAGTGATGGACAGTGTGCAGGATCCTTTTCTTTACTTTTCAAGACCAGAATCAAAATAAAAACACTTGAATGCATTGTTGCAACAGAAACCAAAAAAACAGGGTAACTCCTATTTAGCCAAGCAGTTGTTTTTCAGGTGTTTTCATGATTTATTACACTCTGTCCAGTTTTATTTTTATTTTTTGCTGATGCGGTTGTTGTTGTTTATGTTTGCAGCTCGTTACCCACAGAATGGACATGTCCTATGGCCAGATGGGCAGCCTTCTGCGCAGCGGCTCCAGACAGACACTGTTTGCCAGCCAGCTGATGCGTTATGCAGATCTATATTCCTCCACCTGCCTCAATCTGTTGCACTACCCTTTCAATTACCTTTTCATGGCTCCCCCAGTCCTGGTCAGTCCTCTCCCTCGCCCATACATACACCTGCACCTTTTATTAGCCATTCCTCATCTCACTCATCAACTCTTTCAGATGCCCCACGAAGCTCAACACTCATCTGACTTGGCTTCATCAGAGGTCACCTATGCCAACCATACTGTCAAGAAGAACTAAGGTTATTATTGTTATGCTGCAGTGTTCAAATTGATCTCCACTGAATTATGTGAGTAGTTTATCAACATTTCTCTGTCTTGTAGTGCTGAAGACAGCTGACTGAGATGTTTCAGAAGACTTCTAATGCATGGACACTTTCTCACTGATGAGGGTGATAAAGGGTTTGTTGCAGCCATGACATGCCTCTTTTACCTTTTTCTCCACCTAATGGACATGAATTGCTATGCCATACAACATTTACAAATTAAACCCTAAATAAATGATGCTGACAGTGTAGGAATCAAAGCAAAAACAGACTGAGGGTTACTGTATATATGAGTGTCTTTAATATGTTGTTACACATCAGTGCATATGCACATTTAATCTCAGGTTTGTGTAATGTTTTTTAAGAAGTAACTTTATTTGTTTATGAAACTTCTGTTGCATCATTTTAATAAATCAGTCATATTCTTTGTTTTCATTTAAGTACAAAAACTTTAATGTCTTTATGGCATATACAGAATCATTTTACATTGTGTTAGCGGCTTTTCAGACTCACACAGAGTCACAGAGTTGCGGGGACTGTTTGAATAAAAACTGTTCACAGTGAAGTCTGTGGATTTTTCCCGCGTAAGCAGGACACTGTTTCTGGAAAGACATGTTACTGTTGAGTATCCAAGGTGGGTTAAAATCAAGGGCAAATGGACCTTTGGGCTGAAAATACTCAAAGACGCATGAAAGAGGAAAAATGTCTAAAAGTATCTTTAACCAAGTCCAGTTGTCCTTGATTTTAACCCACCTTGGATAACTACGACCTGGATGACTGAGAATTGTCACAGACATGTTACTGTTTCAAATGTAATTTGTTTGTGCTGTGCGAACCCCAAAAATGAATTCTTCTGTATCATCAGGTGGAGGCAGAAAGCTCAGGTACCGATTATGTAAAACCTGGGTGAGTACAGTTACTAGATGTTACTAGAAGCAATATAGTTAATGTTTGTGTTTTTGTCATTTGGCTTTTGTACTACATCTGTTGTCCACTGGATGGCAGTGAATCACCTCTGCTACAGACCTGAACATCGATCTGTGTGTGGTCAAATGGAAATAGATTACTTTTTATTCAGCGCAAACAAGTTAAAACTGTTTTAACTGGCAGAACAATGATCTATCTTGATTTGTCTTACAACATGAATCGTGTGTTAGTAATAAAAATAAAACATGTGTTCTAAACCCTCAACAGTGAATGCAGCAGCTCATCTACTGGCAGATTAAACTGATTGTATATCCCTTAATAAAACTAATGCATGTTAATATCAGGAGCCCTCAAGAGCCCACAGCATCTTCACTCATTAACAAAACCATTAAAATAATCAAAATGTATTATGTGTACTGCTATTAATCACATGCACTCACATGTACTCACACCTGTTTGGTACTATACACAGACTCCTTATCTCTGAGTTGTTCTCTCTTCCTCTTGGTTCTGACAATCCTGCTCCCATGAGAGCTGAACTTTTATCAAAAGAGAGCTCAGAGGAATTTGTTGTCTGGCACTCACACACACACACACACACACACACACACACACACACACACACACACACACACACACACACACACACACACACACACACACAGTGTCTCTCTCTTTGTTCCTAACTGTAAGATATCAGTAGTGACATGTGACCATGTACAATAGGAAATGATCCAGTGTTCTTGCAGGGTTGAAGTGTCCAGAACATCACAGTTTTCCTGCTGTGCTCCTGAGCTTGGTTATGGAGAATCTACCCCACATTTCACTCTGCAGGAAAACTCCCATCTTTATGGTAAATCATTCACTGCTCATGTGGTATCTGTCCATCTATTGGATTGGCATATGATGAAGCCTCCACTGTCAGGAAACATCAAACAACAACAACAAAAGCACAATGTTATCAGGAAGATCCAGTGCAGACTTTGACTTATTGTGAGGATCTACCGGTAGTCTTAACTTTATTATGGGTGAAGCTCTTTGGATTTGAGGACACTTAAGACTTCCTGCTGCATTGTTTTGGTCTTTCAAATTAAACACAACAGGCAAGTCCAAATTATGAAACACCTGCTGCATTTGTTAGTACCTCCTCCTTGCAAACACACACACAAACCTGTTTCCCAGATGATTTAATTTCCTGTATCAGGGCTATTTCAGTTTATTTGGATTTCCCTTGTCATTGTCTGCTTGTCACCTGGATTTATTGTTGTTCCTTTTCTTCTTTATTCAGTGTTTGTCATGTTTTATCTTCTCACTTGCACAAAATGCTCAGCTTTCATCTCTCCTACCAGCTACTCTGTTTTTAATCCACTAAGTTTTGTCACTGCACACACAAACTAACCTTAAGAATCTTACTTTGAGGCAATGTTCTTTATTTAAACTTTCATTTTATGATTTACAAGTCATTGTTATCAGGGAATTATGGACAATGAATGGTTATGTCAAAGTCAGTAGTCCCCAAAATGTAGCCAGCTTTGATTGTGCACACTTTGGATGGCATTAAGCTGCCATTCTGCAGCAGACCTGAATTTAAAGCTGAATGAGCAGCCTGACACCAGACTAACTGCTACTTAGATGTGTCAAGATAGGTATGAAATCTGTGCTGAAGCTTTGTGTCTTAATTTATCTAAGAAGTAACAATTTAAGAAACTAAATTGTTGCAACTTTAAATGACATAAAATATATGATAGCCCTGCTGGTAATATTTAGTCTGCAAACAAGTCTAGCTTCTGGCCCAGAGTGTAGTAAATAGGGCTTAAAAATCTTTAATCCTTACTGAAAAGAAAAACACAAAACAAACACACACAGTTTTTTTTGCCTTTATGTCTTTCCCTCTGATGGGAAGACATAGTTGCAATGGACTTTTGGTCACACAGTTATCCTGACAAACACTCACATGCATACCTTTTCCTTACTCTCTGCCCCCTTCCCTTTCCTGTCCTTGAGACAATATACTGCACTGTGATATATGAGCTATACAGCGTACCTGTACTGCAGAGGTGTGAAAAGTATCAGTTTCTCTGTTGTTTAGAGTGTCACCCACACATCACTCTGCATGAACTATCTGATTGCATTTAAATAATACAGCACTTGATCACACCTTAAATAATGATGTTATCATGGTGGAGGAAGAGGAGGCTGTTTGCAGTGCTGAGGAATCCTCTGAATACCATATTTATTTCATTATTTCACAAGACACGAGAACATTTGTGCAAAAGACATTATAGTGATCCTGTAATGTGTAAATATTAACTCACCTCTGCCTGGAAAATATAAATCAGTTATTGGTGGCAGTCTGTGTTTGTACAGATTCATATATTATTAAAATATAAACACAATTACCATTTTATGTCGTGGCTTTTTATTTAAATTGTGTGCTACTCAACTTTAAAAGCTATTGTTTTTCACAGAAGGCACCAAACATTCAGCTTGTGATTTTCCCATTAAATTTCATAGTTTCTTTAAATAAAAATGACCTTTTTCCACTATGACAGTATGTTCTGTATCTGCCACACTGAGTGAAAAATTTAAACCTAAGACATCTGTTTTTTAGCTGTGCCATTACATCAAATGAACATATTCTAGGTTTATGAAACTTTGCTACACATTTTGCCTAAGTATTTGGTGTCTTTGGAAGCACTGTAACTTCCTCTATAACTGAAAATGAAGTCTTGTGTGTTTCAACAAAGCTGCACATTTATGAGTTTACAGTAGTTAATAAATGTATAATGACTTGCTTTTGAGAGGACTATAAATGAGTGACATCAGTTTGTTACTGTATCAAATATGATGCGTTAACATTAAAGATGCACTCTAACTTATTCACATTGTAATGATATATTTTTTCATCTTTTTCTGCACAACCTTAAAAGCAAGCAGGCTGTTTCTGGGCCTGAGATTTCAATGTTTTAATGTAATAATAAGGTGTATGAAGATTTTTATGGAGGAATCAGGTACTTGATTATTTGTGTGTTTAGTTCACTGTTTTCAAATGATTTAATAGAAGAGTCAGTCAGGCATAAAGGTAGCAGATTGGATATTTCAAGTCTATATTAAATTTTTACCTGTGCTAGCCAATCAATTGATTTCTTTTAAACATCAAATTCTCCTTTTTTAATTTGTCAAGTTTCATCTTTATAAGAGAGAACGTAAAAAATAACAGTGGTTTCTTTGATCAGAAACATTTCATAAACCACAATAAATGATTAAAAACAAATATTAATTTAATAACAGTTTATTCCATGATAACAGTTCATCTTTTATTTCCAACACATTCTCTAACAGTAAGTTTCATTCATGTTATATTAAGGCTTCATTAATACAGTGTCATGAAAACACACAGCAGGCCCACAGACACATTACAAAAGGGAAACCCCCACAAAACATTTGTTTTATGCGCAGCAGTGTGAGTATGTTGTGTGTTATGAAATGCAGATGTCCTTATCACATTAGCTTGTATTCTCTGTAGTTTCATCTGCACATGAAAATCAGATAAAGAAAAATCACCGCTGACATGTTGGGTTTCATTGCAGGATACTTGCTGCTCTATGCAGTCAGATAACTGCAGAAGCACCACCGTCCCCCATTCCGCACATTCCAGGATTTCCCAGCAAGCATTGCAAGCAAGCCTAAACAAGTCACGTTCTTTACCCAGGGAGCATTTCACACAGCCGAGTGACTGAGGTCTACTTTTGCCTTCCCTTTAGTGTGCAGTCACATAAATGCATACTTTTTCTAAAAATCAAAAACATTTTTTTAAAGCCACACAGAAATGATGCGACTTGGCTTTAATACAGTCACCATGATCATTCTTTCACCTGAAACACTGTGCTGCAGCAGGGTAATCTGTGCCCTAAAAAAATATTTCCTTTCTGCTTTTAATAATTACTTGTGTCCTTCTGCAGCTTGTAACAGCAGCTGGACTGTGGTTAAACATTTCCACCCAGAGAGGTCTGCTAACAGTCATCAAAACAAACAAACCTCTTCACTCTCTTACTCAAAGGTTGGAACATGAGGCGCGCACACACAGGAGCAGTGACACCTAATCTCAACACAGAAAGAAAGGAAGAAAGACACTGAAGAGAAGGCAAAATGTGAGGGGGGAGAGAGGGCCTTGCTCCCTACATTCCTCCCAAACGTCCCCTCCCCCAATCGACCTGCTGCTACCACTGAGGATGCTCAAAAACACAACCCCCCCCCCCCCCCATCTGCCTATTTTACCATCAGCAACACCAACACAACAACATATAGGTAAAGAAGACACTGGAGTCTAAACTCCATTGAAAAAACTATGGATTCAACAGAGAACCCAAATACCATAAAATCTAGAAAACATGAAAATCCAGTTCAGATAATGAACAGTTTTCAGATATTAGAATGCGTCTGAAATACATTTTTGTCTACTGTTTCTGAGTTTATTTTAAGTTTTTCTTCACCTATTGATATTTGTGGTGTTCACTGTTTTTACAGTTCACTTTAAATTATTGTTGGTATAAATATTAAAAAAAGGTCGGTTAATGATGATCCAATAAATGTACTGAGCACACAAAAATCTATGTTATAGTTTTGAAAGAAAAGCATTATGTAATTTGTTTTCTTCCTTTAAAATGCCTTCTTTCTAAATGCAGTCCAACTGTATGTACCATACTATATATTTAGGTCATGTGTCAGCCTACAAATGTGTGTAAACGCTCTTCTGTAAATACAGTTGTGGGCTTTGCTCTACACCACCACCTGTTATCAGTCATCAGCTCCACATATACACAAACCCGTTTGAAACGAGCCCTTTAGCACCAGTTTAGTGTGAGCTGGGGCCAAATGCTATGACAATACTATTGCACTGCTAGAATGGATGGTACAGTAGTGCAACATTGTCAAAGCAGCTGACCTCAGCATGTGTCAGCACGTGGACATGGGGACAGCCATTCTTCACTGCCAAACTCGAATTACATTTAAAAAAGCAACAATGCTGTTTGTGTGGATCAACTGTTGGCTGTAAAAAAATAAAATAAAATAAAAGGCAGGTTTTGAAATCCAAATTTTTGCCGAAATTTGAATTTAGCTGATTTCTTTGGTTTGAGTGATAATGGCTGTTGAGTGTGGGCAAAATCTTTTTATCTAAAGTTCAGATATTTGACATATTCAACATCCTTACTACTACAAAATAAAGCACAATAACGGAAGAGAAATTCTTTGTTTTCTTACATTATGATACTGGTATGTCAAGACATAGTTGCTCACAAACACACACCCACAATCACCTTAAAGACAGCCTCATAGCTCCATGTGCAGGTTAAGAGTTAAGGCAGTAAAGGGAGGTTTGGGCCTCTGTTTCATCAGCCAATGCCCT